TCCTCTGACGCTTGCGGCAGATCGTTGAGAAAACTATCGGTGATGTCATTCTCGATATATTCTCTTCGAAATAACTCACTGTAGACGGCTGCAAACATTTCTTCAAATTCTGTTTGTCCTTCCGCCATGACATCACCGTTTCTTACTTTCAGAATTGTATTTTTTCCCTCTTGTTCTTTCCAGCATTGCGAAAATTTTTGTCGGCACCTCTTCTTCGTTTAACAATCGAGTGCGGCTCCGAACTACAGCACCATTTAGCTTTTCTTCCAGTAACTTGAGAAGTTGTGCTTTACATTCTTTTATATCGTTCTGAAAAACTCCAGGGCTTTGTTCTTCTTCGACAAATAGGGTCTTGAGGGACTGGACCAACGCCCTTTTCTCTCGCGTGCGCTCGAGCTGTCGCTTCTGCGAAAAGCCAGTTGCGAGTTCCTTCAACTCCAATTTGAAGTTCTCCCACACGCAGGCATCTAGCGGAGTTTCATTGCCAAGTACCTTAATCTTTTGTTTCACCATCGCAGCAAATTCTTCGTCTTGTAAAATGCTCATGTTCATTTTCCAGCTTCTATTACGTGCCTTGCTGCGAGTTTTTGCTCCAGACTTGAGAGAAAAGAAAACCAGGGCATGATCAGAGAACGAGACCGCGTCAGCCCTGCACCCCTCCACCTGATTCAGCATCTGGCTTGACTGGTAAAGTATGTCAGGGCGGGCGTGAAATGCTCCCTGCCAATGCGTAAAGCGAGGAGAAAAATTGTTCAGCGGGCTTGTGACGTCAACCAGGTCAAACTGCTCTAACACGCTCTTCAGTAGAAGTCAGTAGAAGTAGGAATCAGTAGAAGACACGAATAACCATGTGTCGTCTAAAACAATCATATCTGAAAATATGGCAATGGAACTGCAGGGGGATGGGTCGGAAGCAGGCCAGTCTCAGCCTTCGGTTGTCGCTTGAAACCGATCCCCCTGCGGTAATACTTCTGCAGGAACCTGGAAAGAAGCCCGTAAAGATTAAGGACTACCGGACGGTCGGCGGAACCCAATACTTCTCGACCCTCGTCCACAGGACATTCGCGGCCACGGAGAGGCACCTGGACGGGGGCGGAGTGGAGTGTGGGTATGTGGTGATCGTCCCGGTGAAGAAGGGGGACCGGGGTGTCCACATAGTGAATCTGTACGGGAACCCCAAGCTTCACAAGGTTGACTACAGAACTCTCCTGGGAAACGCGGTGAGGGCGGCCGGCAAGGAACCGCTCGTCATCGCGGGGGACTTTAATGCCCCGCACCCGGGATGGGGTTACAAATACGTCACGCCGAAAGGACGCAAACTTTTCGAAGGAATCAACCAGGAACGCCTCACGCTCCTCACGGAACCTGACCAGCCTACCAGGACGGGGACTAGCACGTGCAGAGATACGTGCCCGGACCTCACGCTGGTGAAGAACGTGGGGAGCGCCGACTGGAAGAACCTGGCAGAACAACTTGGAAGCGACCACTGTATCCTTGAAACGACACTAAGAGAGGCAGGATACAAGAGAAAAACTGGAACCGCAAAGATCACGGACTGGGACAAATGGAGGAAGAAAAGAGAAAAGACAGAAGTGCACCTGGTGGACATTGAGGAGTGGGCTGCGGACGTGACCACGAGCCTGCGCCCTTTTGTCACGGAGGTTGAGCTTTCGGAGAAGACTCCGGCTGTGGATGCAAGACTCCTCCACCTTTGGGAGGCCCGGCGTGGTCTGACCAAGAGGTGGAAACGTCAGCGACACAACAAGAAGATTCGTACTAAGATCCAAGAACTAACTAAGGACGCGGAGGACCATGCGGTCGACCTCGTTAGGAACAACTGGTATGGGATTTGTGACTCTATACGCGGCAGCCTCGGTACGGCACGGTCGTGGCGTCTCCTTAGGGCACTCATAGATCCAACTAAGACTAATTCGGTTACAGACAGTCGAATAGCTGAACTCATATACGAGTTACCCAACGATACAGAGCAAATCATGGACCAACTCGCGCGCAGATATTTGTGTCTTGAACGCGCGGAGGAAACTCTAGAATATCTAGGACGCGAAAACTCCGAACTGGATAGGCCGGTATCGGTGGCAGAATTCGAGTACGAGCTCGGGGCCATGAAAAAGGGCACCGCGCCGGGGCCCGACACCATCACGGCAAAACTCCTTTATAACTTGGAAGAAGGCGAACTCGGGAAGCTAGTTAATCATTTTAACGAGCACTACTGGGCTAGGGGGGTGACGCCAGCTTGCTGGAAAACCGCTGACATTCGCTTTATTCCCAAGCCCAAAAAGAACTTAAATCTAGAAAATCTTAGACCCATCTCACTTACCTCATGCGTGGGTAAAGCTTTTGAGAGGGTACTAAACACTAGGCTCATGAGGTACTTGGAGAAGGAAAATCTCATGCCCCATACTCAATTTGGGTTTAGACCTCGTACCTCAACACAGGACATCCTCCTGTGGATATACAAAGATCTTTTGGAGAACCCTTCCAGGGGACAAACACGGTGTATTCTCCCTCTTGATTTAAAGGGGGCTTTTGATAACGTTTCGCATGCCAGCGTACTCAGAGGCCTGAACGAGATCCACTGCGGACAGAGAACGTTCGAATACGTACGGAGTTTCTTAACGGACAGGAAGGCTACTGTAACCTTAGGGAGCATGAAATCCAATAGCTTCGAGCTCGGCTCAAAGGGGACGCCTCAAGGGGCTGTTTTATCTCCGCTTCTTTTCAATCTGGCTCTGCGGGGTTTGCCGGAGGCGCTGGGGGTGGTTCCCGGTGTGGAACACGCCATCTACGCCGACGACATTACCCTGTGGTGTCGGGAGGGAAACGACGCGGAGATTGAAGAAAGACTACAGGCGGCTGCCAAAATTGTAGAAGACTACGCTGAGGAGTGCGGTCTAAAGTGTGCACCGGAGAAGTCCGAATTACTTGTCTTGAGGAACCCTTATGAACGTGTGTCGGAACAGATTGAGGTTTGGGTGAGCGGGAAACGGGTCTCTAAACCCACGGAGATTTGTATCCTCGGCCAGCTCATTCGACAAGGCAGGGGCAACAAGTCGACTATCGATAAACTTGACACCATGACCACCCAGGTCTGTGGCATGCTTCGAAGGATAAGAAATCGTAGGAGGGGCATAAAAGAGAAAGAAGCAATGCAACTCGTTCAGGCCTTTATTATCTCCAGAATCACTTACGCCACACCGTACTTGGTCTTGAGTAAAGCGGAATGGCAAAAAATTGATGTTTTGATAAGAAGAGCTTACAAAAGTGCGCTAGGGCTTCCCGAGAGGACAGCGATCGACAAATTACTGAAGTTAGGGGTCCACAACACGATAGATGAGCTTCACGAAGCACATCTCGTGGCTCAGCTAAAGAGGTTGGCGTCCACGAAGAACGGGGCGTGGCTCATGGACAAACTCGGGATGGCGGTTCCGGGAGGAACGCGTACGGGTACTGTCCCCGACCACGAGCTGTCAGCAGAAATACGGAAGAAAATAGTGGTGAGTCGTATCCCGAGGAATATGCAACCAGGAAAGGACGACGGCAGAAGAAAGGCCAGATCTGAGGCCCTGTCTAAGACATGGGATCACAGAGAGGGAACGCTATATGTTGACTGTGGCGGCCCAGTAAACGGAGTTGCCACAATCGCAGCGGCTAATGCCCAGGGTCGGGTGTTAAGATTAGCTTCGGTCAGAGTAGAGTCGGCTGGGCAGGCTGAGGAAGCGGCGATTGCGTTGGCGGTTGTTTGCAACCCCAGGGCGACTGTCATCTCTGACTCCCAGAAAGCATGTGGAAATTTCGCTCGCGGGATGGTGTGCGAAGTCGCTGATAGAATACTACGTAAGACGGAAGTGCAGGGGGTGCATCTGATCTGGTCCCCTGGCCAGATGGGAAACACTGGGAATGAGGCAGCAAATGCTGCGGCCCGAGGCTGTATTCTCCGGGACTCGTCCCAGTCGGGTGGTCAAGTGGACACGGACCTCTCGTTTAACGAGGCACTCAAAATGAAGAAACTCGACAGGCGCGTATTCCCGAGCCCGTGCGGGGGGCTTGGAAAGGAAGAAGAATGGACTTGGAGAAGGCTCCAGACGGGCACTCTTGTGACCCCCGCCAAGTTGCACCAGTGGTACCCCGACCGGTACACTACGGGAGCCTGCCCCTTCTGTGGTGACCCCTGGGCGGACGTGCATCACATTACTTGGAAGTGTAAGAAGATCCCTGGACTGGCTCCACTGGTGGAGCCTTCTACTCAAGAGTGGGAAGCGGGGCTGCAGAGCGAAGTCATCGATGTGCAAAAGCTGCTGGTGACCCGCGCGCTGCATGCCCAAACCGCAATTGGAGCCCTGGAATGAGGGCATACACCCACTCTCTATCTCTTTAACTCCCCCTTCCCTTCCCAATCTTTCCTGTTACGTCCAGTAAAGTTTTCAACAACAACTTCAGCTTAGTTGCACTCGAGTCGCTTGTTGCAGCGTGGTTAGAGCGGTCACGGTTAGATAATACGCAGTTAAAGTCGCCGCCTAGAATGACTTTTCCAGGCGTGTCCAAGATTCGTATCAAAGACTTGAAGAAAAGACAGCGTTCAGCAGCATCATTCGGTGCATAAACCGACACTAGACGAACTAGTTCATTTTTAACGAGGCAGTCAACTCTGCTTACGCGACCGTCCGCGCCAAGCTCACAATCAACAACGGAAAAACACTTTTTCTTTTTGACAAGCACCGCCGTTCCTCCAGACGGATTGCCAAGAGTCAATGTGTGAAAACACCAAAACACGTGTCCAAAGTACTGCCCGAAGTCTTTTGCCTGCTCATACGTGGAGATTCTTGTTTCCTGAATGAAAGCAATATCTATGCGTTTTTCTAGCAGCAGACTGAGTAGCCATTCCTTACGTTTCTTTGCAACAGTACTAACAGCGTTAAAGGTTGCAATATTCAAAGGATTCGAGTTTTTAGTCATTCAATAAAGTGTTGGAGTTGGGACGGCTTACACGTTTGGCAGAACGTTGTCAATCTTCGAAGGCTGTTTCTTCAAGTGCTGAAGCACCCCGCTCTGTCAACCATGGTTGGCCTTGAGGTTCAGTGCCTTTCTTCCAACGCTTGCGGGTCACAGAAGTAAATCGTTGGTCACCCGCAGTCGCACGCGCTGCAATTTTTTCCGTTGATCGCTCTCCCTTCCTTTTAATTGGCGCTTCCACTCCGGTGACTTCTTGATCCGGGTTTCCATCTGCCTTGCTGGCCTTTCTGTTTTTCTCGTCCTTCATCTCAACCGATTTTGGTGTGACTTGTCCTGCTTGCGAGTTCTCTCCCGTCTTCGGCGACGGCGTCTCTGTCATCTTGATTTCAGCGACGCTGCTTGCTGGTGGTGCTGAGTCGGCTGCTCCGACGACGTCAGTTGACAATTCAGACGCCTTCCCTTTCGGAGTCGCGGCAATGGTCTCCTCCATTTCATCTTGGTCCATCAGGTTATCGACGTCCTGCAGTTCAGTTGGAGGTCTCGTTTTTGCCGCGTACGTTTGGATACAATTGTCCTCCTCATGTCCGTAAGTGCCGCATGTCCTGCACCACGGAGTGCGACACTGCTTGCGCATGTGTCCTACCTCCTTGAACCATAAGCACTGAGGTGGGCGGCCTGGAATGGACACCAACGCTGGCATTCCGAGGATGTTGATTTGATGCGGGATAGCGTCCCCTGTGATGCCTTCCTTGAGTACCATCGTGACTGTTCGCGTTGTTGTCTCCACATTCTCAAAGCCTGGTTGCGTCCACTTCTCGCGCACGATTGATTTCACTTTACTGTGCGGCTCGAACGTCTTTTGCACAGCTTCGTCGGGAACGCAGACGGGAACCCAATGAACTTTGAATGATTTCTCAGTCACATTCGGATCGATGACCAGGCAGGTCTTGCCCTTGACGTTGAGCACTGCCGCGTGTAGCAGCTTCTCCTTCGCTGCCGCGTTGTGCAGGGGGACCATCCAAACGTGGTTGTACTGGAAGGCACCGAAGCCGGCCACGTCATTCATTTCAATGACGTCCTTCAGAACGTCGCGAAAGTCGTCGATGGGATACGGTCTCGCTGATGGGTCGCCATGTAGAAAGACTGAATTAAAAGAATAACGACCTGTTGGCAGCGTAGGCAGGATGATACGGTAGTCCGGGGGGTCAAATATTCCGAAATACCTGTTGGAACCCGGCTAGGGTAAGCCGTAGGACGCGCTCCGCTGGAGCTCATGATTCCTTGACCGCGCGCCTCGGCGTTCGAAAAAAGAATACTCGGCCACCGATCTCCCCGGAAAAAAACATCTCTTGTAGGTCCACTGGCTAATTTCGGCACTCGGATTGGCGCATTTTCATGGACGTCGCGCCACCTTGTTCACAGGAAGAGAGAGAGAGAGGAGAAGGAGGGGCGGGGGGGAGGCTTAGGTAAACTACTCAGTAATATACGCTCAAGCCTCAAGGCGATTCTGAAATTTTCTTACCCTTATCGGGTAAGCACGTCCGGTTGTCGGCTAAGGGCCATCGCGTGAACAACTGAAGCATGTTGCGCTTGTCCGTGTCTACTCGCTTGTGATTGTCCCTTGTGTCGCGCAAAAAAACCTCTAGACTGCATCATGAACCAACTAGGCCAACAACAAGTTCTAAATGTTCACCTAAACCTAGCCCCCCCCCCCCCCTCCCCCCTTTCCTCATATTTTTCCCTGTAAACCAGGCGACGCGACGTTCGTGAAAACGAACCAGCCAGAGAGCCGAAATTGGTCTGTTGACTTGCTCCACAGGCTTTTACCGAATAGCCTCACGGGACACTCTAATTGCACAAACACGTGTAGACCACTTTGCTCCCTTTTATACGAGTCCCTAGGCACCTGTTTTCGACGCTCCACTAAGCACGGCAGGGACTGCCTTTCGCTCCCTTTGTTTCACTTCTTTTAACCGCTCTCTCCTTCTTTTTATCTCTATTTCACCCTTACATACTCCCTTATTCCTCATTTTTTATGCTTGGTTGCTTTGTGGTGTGAACCGCGGTTGCCCTTATTTCAAAAGAGGCTTTTTTTTTTTTTTTATCACAGCGCGGTTTTGTCAGACGCATTTTAAATGTTCAATTTTTTTCCCTCCCCTGATCCGAGTCACCGCATGCGACTGAGTTTCGCAAGAGAAGTGGCGGTATTGTTTAAACTTCCTATGTATTTTTATGTAAATATTATAGCTGAACGCCTTTATTTTTTTACGCGTTTTTGTTCCGTTTTGTCAAGGGATTTTTTGTTTTGTTAAGGGGCACTTGTCCGTATTTGCTTTCCGGGTATTTTCGCTTCACCATACCTTTTGTGTCTGTGTCTCTGTTTGTCCGCTTTGAACTTCCGTTTTTCTACGTTTTCTGGCTCGTTACTTTGTGTCGCTAACACCATTGTCCGCTTTTAGGTGTGATCTTTTTCAGAGTTTTAAAACGTTTTCGTTCTTTAACGCCTCCCTACACCTAACACTCTATTTGCTTTGTTTTTCTGGCTCGTTACTTTGTGCGTCGCGTGGATTTCTTTCTAACCGCCGGGTGTCCAGATCTTTTGTTTGCGTTGTTCTCCTTTCCTTTTTCTCCTACATTTTACTCGGTTTAGCGTAATGTATCCCCGTACATCATAGAATCAACATATGGCTCGTTTCAATTTAAGAGCCCATTGTTTCCCCAAGAAACGCGCTAACTAACGCCTTTCACTTTATAAAGATTCAAATGGGGATACCGCGTCCCAACTTTCTGCTTGGCCCGTCGGCGGGTTTGCGTGCGTCGTGCGTGTTCATGCTTATATGTTTACGCGCACGAGTTGGTTATGCTAATTTTGTGTCGCGCACATGTGTTGGAAACTGTCTTTTTGCACGCCCTCATTATCGCGTACGTTTGTCTGTGCACGTGTCTTCTATAGCTATATTTTGCGCATCGTACGTTTTTGTGGGCGTCTGGATGCGCGTGCGTAAGTGTGGGTTTATGTATTTGTGCATGTGTATAGACCTTTCCAAAAATGAGCGTATGGCCGGTGCCATTTCCAGTGTTCGTGCGTATGGCGCGTGCTTTGCTCGTTTTCCGGAGCGACGCACACGCGCGTGCTGAGCTGTGGATTTGTAAACATTAGAATGGTATATAAGTGCAGACAGGACTCCGCTTCGCAGAGTACTGCTTCTCAATAATTGGGCATGCTTAATTAGACATGAAATGAAGATGATATAAAAAAAACCGCATCTTCACGTGGTGAATGATGTTGATTGGGGCGAAGCTCTGGTGGGTGCTTGTCTGCGTAGACGGTGAGCCGCAGCATGCCGAGCCTTTCGTTCGTTTTCATACATGTCACGCTGCGGTCAAATGCACAAATGCGTATATAACCACGTTCCATACCACACATTTTCTTTCTGACAAGGACGAAAAGGAACGAAAGGCTCGGCATGCTGCTGCTCAGCGTCTACGCAGACAAGCACCACCAGAGCTTCACCCCAATCAGCATCATTCACCACGTGGAGATGCAGTTGTTTTTTTATGTTTTTTGTTTGCCCTACACGAGCACGAATGCACATGCTCACGTGCTCGTGAGCACGACCACCCGACGCCGGACATCGGGCTATCGGGCGCGGACATACGGACATGGCTAGCCCCTAGAGGCCCTGTCACATTGAGGAAACACGGCGGAAACATGAACAAAACATGTTTCTCAACAGTCGGGAAACATGTCGGCTGTCGGCTCTGTTGCCCGACAACCCTGTCACATTGAGGAAACAGCAACACAACATGAACGACAGCGACAATGTTGTCTCGGTGTGACAGCTTTTGGCAACGGAAACCTCGACAACTTGTGTCGGACGACACGTGTTGCCCATTTTGGTGGCTGAGCGAATTTTTTTCCAGCAACACGGCAACATCTATATTTTTCTGTACAGATAGTCGCACGAGAATACTTCACGTCAAGCGTGAAGGGCCATTTTGAACGCGGCTTCTTGCGCGCCGGCAGCTGATCGTCAGGATCATCTGAATCGATGGCACAAAGAAGCACCAAAGCAGAAGCTGCTGCTGTGGCCGGCGCGTATGCCATTGTGCAAGGGTCTAGCCCTGTAGCAGAACGCAACCGCCAAATCCAGAGAACACGAGATGGTTCGCGCAGGTGATGAATCGACTACGGTAGAGCGACGTCGATTAGACGGCGATCCAAAATGGCAACGATTCATGGGGCGAGCGGAGCCAGCGGATCTGAGCCTATCCGCCTATACTTCGTTTCAGCTTCGGTCCAGACGCAGCCGATGCTACAAGCGCGAGCATCTGGCCCAGAACAGTGCTTGCACAGCACGAGCGCGCGTGCTTGGCAGGGATGCTGAAAGCCCGGAGCTCGCGCTTGTAGCTTAGCCGAGCCGGCCGGGCAGACGAGGGCGAGAGAGAGAGGGAGGCAGCGCGCAGGAGGGGAGGCAATTTGTGTTCTTCCAACACGCTTTCTCGGTGTGACAGGATGTTCCCCGAGTGTCGGAGAACAAGTTGGGAAACATGGTTTTCGGACGACAGCAACATGTTTCCGGACTGTTGCTGTTTCCGCAATGTGACAGGGTCCCCGAAAACATGTTTTCCTCGTGTTGAAGGACAAAGTTCTCCGACTGTTTCCGCAGTGTGACAGGGCCATAAGAAGCTTCGCCCCCTAAAAAATTCATCCTCAGAAGCACGCGCGAGACTGAAGCGTCTCTTTCACCTACTTTTCCATCCGAAAAAAAAAGAGGATAAAAATATATCAACTATATGCCTCAAGACTTAAGCCCTAACCCAAAAATGCACGTCGTTTCAACAAAGAAAACTACAGCATAAACTCGTGCAAGAAAAAAAGGAATGTACATTTTCCGCGAGCCTGCACAAACTAGAACAACAAAATGACGAACGGGCAATGACACTAATAATAACAATAACCACAATAATCATTCATAACGTAATCGCGAGACTATAGTCAGACGACGTCGAGCCTGTCATCTACGTGTCCCCTCGGCTGACGGCCTTCGTCCATTTATTCATTGCCGTTCCCGCGATGATGTCGTACCAATATATTTCATCCGGTCCCCAGACTTTCAGAAACAAAACAAAACAAATAATGTATTATTCCTAACCAATATGCGACGCAGTCCTAGGTAACAAACGACGGCGTAGATGTTCAATGTTCCGTCTTCCAAAAGCGCGCAGCGTGTAACCCCACGTCTGACTGCTGCCATTTCGTCTATTTGTTCATCGATAAAAAAAGCATCAAAACCTACAACTAAACTGACGTTTCAGTTTGTTTTTTATGCTTGCAAATATCCAAAATAAGAATATAACAAAACAACGGTATACGCCCTAGATCGTGCTTCGCCAACACTGGTGTTTTCCTTTGGTTGTTACTACTTCAGTTTCTAGCTTTGTGATTTTTTGCCGAAGTCAAAAGACGTTGAAGCAGCGCGTGCGACAACTGGGATCACGCGTTGCACATGCATCGCACACCCGAAGAGGATTGAAGCAGGCCGCGCTAGTAATAGTACAAAAAAGTCGGTCATGAAAATTCAATATTTAAGTTATTTCTACGCTGTGCTTTTTCTTAGGCTGCGCACCACTCTACGGGTCGATACTTTACAACTTTAAATTTGTGCCTACACGACATTTCCGTTTGCTTGTTTAAGCGCGCAGGCTTTATTACCTTTTTTTTTTTTTTTTTTTTTTGAGCGGCGAAACAACGTTTCTAGGCTTGTAGCCGCATGTCGTAGGGCTGCCAGGAGAAAACACTCTCGCCGTTCAGGA